TAAGGAGGGAGAGGAGGGGAGGGTGAAGGAGGTGAGCTTAGGGAGGAAGAAGGCGTGAGACTGCAGGGCCTATGGGACTTTGGCGCTCACTCTGGGCAAGTCACGGAAGCCTTGGAGGGTCATGAGCAGGGTAGGAACATGATCCGACTTGGCTGTTCAGAGGGCTGTTTGAATGCTGTGTTAGGTCCGGGCCATGATAGGGGTTGAGGCAGAGACTCCTGCAGGAGGCTGTCGCCATCATCCAGGTCAGAGGCGAGGGCGGCCAGCACTGAGCCGAGTGTGCAGGTGGTAAAGAGACAAATTCTTGATATGTTTGGAAGGTAAAGTTTGTAGGATTTTCTGATGGATTGTATGCAAACAGTGAGAAAAAGAAATAAGTCCAATAAGGCCTGAGAAGCTAGAAGGATGAGGCTAGCATTTACCTAGCTGAGAAAAACTTTGGGAAGACTGGGAGTTCTGCCATGGGTCTTGCTGAGTGCAAGATACTTATTAGCTATTCAGACAGGAGAGGAATGGAGTCAGCAGGTAGAGACACAAGTCTGAGGTTTGGAGAAAGGGTCTGGGCTGGTGACACACAGCTGGTGGTTATTGGAAGATACATAGATTATATTTAACACCAGGAGGCCGGACGTGATAACTAGGGAGTGAGTGTGGACACAGGAGAGGTCTCAGGATCTATCCCTGGAGCGTCCCAACGTGAAGAGGGTGAGAAGATGAGACAGAGATCAGCAAAGGATTACAAGAAGAAGAAACAAGCACGTGAAGGGTAGAGCTAAGAAAGAACAGTGTTCCGGGGCAGGGCGCCCTGTAATCCCAGCACTTTGGGAGGCCGAGGCGGGCGGATCACGAGGTCAGGAGATCGAGACCATCCTGGCTAACATGTTGAAACCCCGTCTCTACTAAAAATACAAAAAAAAAAATTGCCGGGCGTGGTGGCGGGTGCCTGTAGTCCCAGCTACTAGGGAGGTTGAGGCAGGAGAATGGCGTGAACCTAGGAGGAGGAGCTTGCAGTGAGCCGAGATGGCGCCACTGCACTCCAGCCTGGGCAACAGAGCGAGACTCCATCTCAAAAAAAAAAAAAAACAAAAAACAAAAAAGAACAGTGTCCCAAGGGCCAAGGGCAATAGTGGCTCAAAGACAAGGAGTGATCAGCTGTATCCAAAGCTGTCAACAGATCATGTAACATGGTCCTGGAGCACAGAGCACTGGGTGCAGTAACGGTGATCACTGATGGTCTGGACAGGAGATGTTTTGGTGCAGCAGTGGGAAAGAAAGCCCCATCAGGGTGGATTCAAGAGAGAATGGGAGGACAAGAATCACAGACAACAGGTAGAGGCAACTCTTGAGGAGTTTTGTTGAAATACAGAAGGAGATAACCTATGGTTATGAGAAGTAGAAGAAGGAGGCATTTGTCGGCCGGGCGCGGTGGCTCACGCCTGTAATCCCAGCACTTTGGGAGGCCGAGGCGGGCGGATCACAAGGTCAGGAGATCGAGACCATGGTGAAACCCCGTCTCTACTAAAAATAGAAAAAATTAGCCGGGCGCAGGGGCGGGCGCCTGTAGTCCCAGCTACTCGGGAGGCTGAGGCAGGAGAATGGCATGAACCTGGGAGGCGGAGCTTGCAGTGAGCCGAGATTGCGCCACTGCACTCCAGCCTGGGCGACAGAGCGAGACTCTGTCTCGAAAAAAAAAAAAAAAAAAAGAAGGAGGCATTTGTCTAGGTTTGTAGTCGGGGGAGATACTGCTGACATCTTTGTAGATGACACCAACCACACTGGTACAATGCACGGATCCACCATGGTCTGCATGGTTCCCTGTTTCAAAAGCTGCACAGACACTATTCCAGCAAGAAAGGGCAGAAGGCTGCATGAGCTGAGGAAGTCACCATTTTACTGGTGACCCACGGGAAACCAGACACAGTTGTTGCTCCTATGCATAAGCATGGAGCTACCTGCAGGGCACCCACAACAGCAAAACCATCTCAGTGTCATCATCTCTAATGGCGAAAATATTTTCCTGGACTGCACGGCAGGTAACATGAGGGCTTTGCATTTGAGGCCTTCATCCTCTTGAGAGAATTCCTAGGAGTGTTACTGCTTCCTGACCACTGCAAGACACATCTACCTTGCTTAAGTACAGATGGAGACAGGGCTCCGTCCTCGGGAAGTTTCCTCTGTAGTGGAACCCAAGTGACCCAATCTAATCTAATTCTTCCTTTTAATGCACTGTAGCATGAGAGGCTCTCAACCATATTCATCTCTAATTAAGCATCTCTGGACTAGAGCAATTATTGTAGCCACTGCTGTTGATAACAATCATCTCCTCAGTCTCTTTGTGGTAGGCTGCTATGTGTTCTCAATCGTTCACCCATGCTTCTCTGAAGGTTCAGCAAACTTCTTGGCCCCGTTATCTCTGAGGGTGGCCATGGGACTTGCTTTGGCCAGTGGAATGTGAACAGCTAAGACAGAAACCACATTTAAGCATAAGCCTTAAGTTGCTGGTGCGGTTGGCTCTAGGCCCCATTTTGTGAGCATCTGCCCTCAGCCATGACAACTACAAGGCTTACCACTGAAGGTGAGGGCTCCTTTGACCTGGGCTCTGGAATTGAAGGGCACGCAGAATGAGGTCAAGCCCAGAGTCCAGCTGCGGGCAGTAGAGCTGCAGCTGACCACCATCCTCAGGTGCCAGGAGTCAGGTGTAAAAGTTGCTGGTTGTAAGCCATGGAGAGTTTGGGACTGTTTATTCCTACAGCAAAAGTTGACTGATATACTCTTTTATTAGACTGTCAAATTTATCTAGTGAAGGAACCATGCTTGTTCTTTATGATATGCCCTAATACCCCTAATAAGAATTGTAGGCCCCTAATAAGTACGTAGATAACAGGCCAAGGGTCACTGTGTCCATTTTGCTTGGTTGGCTGGCATTTGGAATTAACTCCTAGTTCCTATCACTGACACACTGGCAGTACCATTACCAGCTCCTTAAAGTCATGTTCAAAGTCACTGTCATCTTCCCTTCCTACTTCCTGATTTGGGCTATTGAGTTATGGCTGATTGACAAGGAAAACCCAAATAATTTAGGCTTCAAAAAGAAGTGAGTCCTGGCCATGATATATGCAGTTTCTATTCCTAAGTACTCCCAAACAGTCAAGGCTGAGTAGAGAAAGTTGGCTTTAATTGTGCTTGTGTGCTCAGCTCTGTGTGCCTTTTGAGCTTAAGACAGGCCACAAGCTTTGCCCAGGGAGTCCCACTGCAAAGAAAACAAACCCTTGCTTTTGCTTATTCAGTAGGTTCCCTTTGCTTATTTAGAGACTGAACTAGGTATTGTGTGGGAATCAGAGGCAATAGAAGGCACAGTTCTTGGTTTCAAGGGGCTTATGGTGTAGTTTAAGAGACAGGATATATGTGTAAAACTCCAACACAATCGGCCGGGCACAGTGGCTCACGCCTGTAATTCCAGCACTTTGGGAGGCTGAGGCAGGCGGATCATGAGGTCAGGAGATCGAAACCATCCTAGCTAACATGGTGAAATCCCGTCTCTACTAAAACTACAAAAAAAAAAAAAAAAAAAAAATTAGCTGAGCATGGTGGCAAGCACCTGTAGTACCAGGTACTCGGGAGGCTGAGGCAGGAGAACCGCTTGAACCTGGGAGGTGGAGGTTACAGTGAGCCGAGATCATGCCACTGCACTCCAGCCTGGGTGACAGAACGTGACTCCGTCTCCAAAAAAAAAAAAAAATCCAAGACAATCAAGAGATATATACCACTTAATTCTTTAAAAGAGGCAGTGCAGTGTGGTAGGAAAAAGAGCTGGTCTAGAAATCAGGAGACCTGATTCTAGTTTTGGCTCTACTGCTAGTTAATTAGTCACAGGAAGATCTTTTCACTGTTCCATGCATGAATAACTGGTTAATATAAAGCCCCTCACATTTCCACAGTTTCATGACTCCATGAGATACCAACCAGCAGCACACTGGGAACCAAGTGCTCAGTGCATGGCATGGGTAGGAGAGGCTGTGCATCTGGAGGTTATCTGTCTTTCTGTCCCTCACCCCATCTCCAAGCTCATCTGGTCCTAGCCTAGTCTGAGAGGTCTCCTATGTCTTGAGTTATGGACCGAATCTACTGGAACTGAACTGAAAGTAAAATTTAAACAAATGAGTCCAGAATTGTTCTCAGACACCACAAACTGAAGAGGAAAGAGTAGGAGTTCTCCTAAAGTGGATTGAGCCCCCAGGAGCACCTTGGGCTGGGGCTTGCTGGCACCTCCCCAGGGCGCCTGAAGCCACTGTGTTTAGTACCTGGGGTGCATCCATAATGGGCCAGGCTTCTGCAGGAGTGGCAGAAGAGGTGTTGTCCATGTGACTGACATCCGGATATACAATACCTCTCCAAACCCTTCCCCTGAGTCAGAGAGCTGAATACCCTCCTCTCTTTGGGTAAAATCACTTCTCACAATGACAGGTGTGGTGTCCCCAGTGGGGCTCCTGAGGCCTGGACTGCCCTATTTGACAGGACGGGAGGAGAGGGCTGGGAGAAAGGTCAAAACAGAACTTTTAGAACATCCACTGATGCTTTCCTGATTGTTCTTTGGAAAAATACAGAAAGTAGAGATAATCTCATTGGCTAAAGTGCTCTGGAGCCTCGGGGATTAGCCACCTGGCTCTTCTGCTGCAAAATGTATTTAAATCCCCATCCCAGGGCCTCCGGGGTGGCTCAGATGGCCATGGGATTACTTCCTTCGTGTAGTATTCATGTGGCTGAGTGACTGCTGTGAACCGTCTTCAGGAGTTTCCAGGAGCTGGGACCACAGTGTGTTTTAAGGTACTTACATCAGAGTAGGGTTCTTCAGCTCAAAGGAACTCATTTTAAAACAAAAACAAAAACCCCTCCCTTTATATGAAATCAGGTCCTTTTGCAGAGTGTTCTTGGCAATTCAGCAAAGGACAGCAGAAGGTGCTGAGGAGATAACACTGTACACAAGAACAGGCTTCACTTACTTGGGACTCCAGACACCAGCCGCAGGGGGCGCAGCACGCGGAAGGCCCTCAGCGCTTTCACATCAAATCCGGCCCCTTTCCCTCCGAGAGCGTTCGCCCCGTCTGCTTTGGTTGCTTGTTCTAAAATTGCGCTAAAAAGCCTAGAAGAGAGGAAAGAGAGAAGGATTGTCAGGACTGGGTTTTTTTTGCTCAGCTGGGCAAAATTGCGCACGGGTCTCCAGCCCAGGAGTGGGCGCTGTGGGCGTGCGTGGAGTCTGTGGGTGGTTGTAAGCTGACATCAGTGTGGGGGGTGGCCATGCCCAGGGTGCCACCATGGCCCAGGGAGGTCTGAGCGAGCCGAGGGGCAGGCCCTCTGCCATCATAAAGGCATGAGCTGGACAGGCGCTGGGCAAAAGTGGGAAGCAGGTGATGTCTGTCGTCAGTCCTCATCTCCTTGAGGAGCCCTCCGCCCTCTCCATGGTATCCCAGCACCCCTCCCAGGAGTGCCAGCAACCACGTGCTCTATTTCCCCACCTCCTTCCTTCTAGAGACCCCCTCTCTTTGACTTGTTCCTGGCCCATGGAAATCTGCTTTGTGCTGGCCTCGGTGGCTGCTCAGGAGGCGGGCACTGCACAAATGAATGAACAGTTCAGTGGTTAAACAAGAAGGTCTCAAGTGGGGCAAAACCACACGTGCATGTAACTGAGATGCAGGGCTTTCGGCCCTGCCACTGTAGGTCTGAGCTGGCATATTCACTCCTCCAACAAACAAGAACACCTGCGACGTGTCGGGCACTGTTCTAGACACTGGGGCTACAGCAAAACGGACAAAGCCCTTCCCTTCATGAACTTACATTCTAGCAGGGAGACAGACAATAAACTGCGCAATCAGTAAACAGACACTGCAGCTTAGAGTGCTGAATGCTGAGCAGGAGGGGCAGCGAGGGGCTCTGCAGAGAGAGGGTGAGGGCCGCCTCCCTTCCCACCTGAGAGGTCTGCACAAAGAACTCCCTGCAGGTGACACTTGAGCAGAGGCCTATGGGAAGTGAGGGTAGGACACACTTTGTTATCTAGAGACTGTTCCAGGCAGAGGAAGCAGGTGAGCCAGGGGCCCAAGGGAGGAGCAGGGTGTTTTAGAAGAACAGCAGTGACCAGTGTGGCTGGAGCAGGGCAGGGAAAGCAGAGAACTGTGGGAGAGGAAGTCAGAGAGGAAATAGGGAACCCCACCAGGTGCTGGTATCCTCTCTGAGACAGAAGCCACTGGGGGACTTTGAGCAGGAGAGTGACATGACCTAACTACAGGTCTAAAAGAATCATTCTGCTGTTGTGGGAGACTCTCCTGTCGGGGGCGAGGCCAGAGACCAGCTGCTGCAGTCACTCAGGTGCGAGACGCTGGTGGCTCAGAATGAGTGGTGGTGTTGGAGGTAGTGAGAAAAAGTTGGATACCAGATTTACCTTAAGATAAAGCTGGTGGGACTGGCTGATGGACTGGATGTGAGGTGTGAGAAAGAGAGGGGAATCAGAGAAGATTCCAACAGTTTGGGCATGAGCAACAGGAATGATGAGATATGGTTGAATGGACATCAAGGGTTCTGCTGAGAACTTGAAGTTTGAGTTGTTGCTTGGACATCGAATGCATGTCTTGAGTTGGTTCTACTGTGTCTGGAGGTCAGTGGGGAGGTGCAAGCTGGAGACAAAAGCGCAGTAGTTGCATAGTTCATATTTAAAGTCAAATCATATGTGACTACCTAGGAGGCCAGCGCAGAAGGTGAGGATGTGAAAGGACCCAACCCTGCAGTGCTCCCACACTGGGGGGTCAAGAGAGGAGAAAGCAACAAGAGAGACTGACTGCAGAGCAGGGACATGGAAAGAACAGCGCCCCACGAAGCGAGTGGTCACTGAACAGGCAGTGCTGTCACACGCTGCAGAGACACGGCTGGACACCGACCACCGGGTTTACCAACATCAAGACCATCCAGACCTTGAAGGCATCTGTGTTGGTGGAGCGACGTGGACAAACACCTAGCAGACATAGGTTCAAGAGAGCATGGGGGGAGTGGGACACCGTGAGGATAGACAGCCCTAGCCAACAGAAATATGAGGCAAGCCACAGGTGTGAACTGCATGTGTAATTTACCTTTGCTAGGAGCCACATTAAAAAAGTAAAAACAGGCGAAATTAACAGTGTTCATAGATTTTATTTTACCCAACATAGCCAAAATATTATCATCTCAACATGTAATAAATATAAAAAATTATTCAGAAGACATTTGTCATTCCTTGTTTTGTAACTAAGTCTTTGAAATATGCTATTTTATCCTTATGATTATTATTATCGCAATTCAGATTAGCCACATTTCAAGTGCTGAATGGCCACATGTGGCTACTGTAGAGATAAGTCTTTCGAGAAATTTTGCTCTAAATGAGCAGAGAAAAAAAGGGGGTTATAGAAGTGGGAGTGGAGTCAAGAGGGTTTTGTTTCTGAATGGGAGATATGACAGCGATTTTTCTATGTGATGGGAATCATCTAACAGAGGCAGAAAATGTGATGAGATAGAAGTGAGAGAGAACCGCTGCTGGTAGGACGGAGCTCCTTCATTGGCAAGAAGGGGATGGGTGCACACGAAGGGTGCCCACCTGTGCAGGGGCAGGGCTGTGTGCCATGATCCAGTAAGAAGACACATTGTCAGCACAGACGCGTGGTTGTGGGAATATATGAAAGTCCCCTTCTGACTGCATCTTTCTCAGGGAACTGGGGAATGAGGCCATCAGCCGAAAATGTGAAAGGGGAAGGAGATGGGAAGTGTGAAGAGAGAGGCAAGGGTGCTGAAAGAATTCTCTCACAAAGCAGAAGGGTGAATGGAGTGCGGACAAAGAAGGAGGGCCCTCAGGTGTCACCAAGGGCCTCCTCGAGGTTGGAGGTCATGAGTGTAAAGTGAGACTCTGCTCAACTTTGCAGATTTCTTGACCCTTTCCAGGTACCAAGCAGATCTCTGGTCGGACTTGATTAGGGTTGGTATTTTTCCAGGTGTGGAAGATAAACAGACAGAAGACTAAGAATGTTGAGCATAAATGCAAGCCTTGAGTGAGTGCAGCAGTGGCACATGGCATCTGAGATGGCTGGAAGGAGGGTGGACATGGTGGCAGGGATGAAGAGTGCAGTGGGACGAAGGGATCGTGGGAATCAGGGTGAGAGAGGGAGGGGACGGGAAAGACGGTGGTGCTGGTTAGACAGTAGGATGTTAGATTTGGGATTATGGGGGAGGCGTTATCAGTGGTGACAGGGATATTGGCTATAACTAGGGGAGTGAGTCTACTGAGACAGGCTCCCCAGAAGGCAGATATCCAGGAACTAAGAAGCTACTGCAGGGAAGGTAGAGAAGAAGTGAGTGTTGGAGTGAAGTAGAGTGAGCCAAGAGCCCATGTCCTAAAGGCACAAGGAGGGGTGACTCAAAGGTCTGCAGAAGGTTGCAGTAAAGAGAAGTAAGGCATAGAGGATCTGATGACACAAATGTCAAAAGGGACGGGGGGTGCAGTGGAGCAGAAATCAGGAGCTGGAAGGGCCCCCTTAGACCTGGCAACCTGGTGCAGTGGAAGGAGGCTTCCGGGACAGGAAGTGGCCACCTGCTGAGAGACAGCAGAAAAAGCTGTACCCTCATGGGAGAATCTGGAAGTGACCAGAAAGGAAACTGAGAACTGGGCCACCTGTTTTGCAAAGTTTTGTTGGAATTCAGTTACACCCACTCATGGAGATACCGCTCTTGTCCTGCTGCTGGGCAGGGTGGAGTAGCTGGAACAGAGACTCGGCTTGCAAAGATGAAAACCAGCATCTGGCTCTTACAGAAAAGTTGACTGACCCCGAACAGGCGAGAGACTATGGGGATGGGAGGGCACAGTGGGAAGGTTTCCTCCGTGGGGTAGTGGGAAAGGAGGGGTTAGATCAGAGGATGCACAGAGCCACATGGGAACAGGAGTCCGGGTGATGAGGGACGACTCAAGAATTTTGGGCTTTTCATGGCAACCGAGAAAAATAGGGGAAAGGGCGTGCAGGGCGATTTCTGTCCTTTATACCCAGAGAGGATGCAATGGATTCATTGGCAGCAGAGTGCACTACACGCTGGGTTGTGTTTCTTCAGTAGTGGGGCCTGGGATCAAGGAGGGCACCCAGGTATTAGGAGTGGGTCTCCATATCGGGTCTGAACTATGAGCCAGGGCAACTTTCACTCAGGAGCAACAGGCTTGAGCTCTTAAGTGACTTATGCCCCAGGTAACTGGATCTAGAAATGGGAAACTGCAGCTGGGGGATTAGCCAGATGCATTAGCAGAAGTTCAGGGCCAGGCAGGGCTGAGCCATGAGGGGATCGGCCTAGAAACGCTCCATGGAGGCCTCCAGGCACTGACTGGCTGAGTGACTGGGGTATTGGCTCCTCCGGTCCAGAGGATGTCCCTCTATCTGGTCTGTGTATTGGACCTCTGAACGAGACTCAACAGCGGGCTCTGCAGCCGAATGAAGTTTGAGAACCCTGTCCAGGCCGTATCTGCAGTGTCTCTCAGCCTGGCGATTTGACAGCTTCCTATGTTAGCTGGTGAGGCCTTGAATCCCAGGCAGAAGTTGCCAGGATGGGGCAGTGGGCTTCTTTCTCTACAAGGGAGATGTTCTTTCCACTGAAGCCCAGATCACTGAGACCGGAGGAGACGAAGACCCGTCTGCAAATTTGTCAAACAACATCCCAAATGCAAACCCGATTTTGTTCCCAGTATTTCCTGCAAGAAAGCAATATGCTTATCCGAGTGAAAGATGTTCACAAAATAGGATTCAGCGAAGGGAGTGGAGATTAGACAACTTGCCCTTAACTCCTGCCTCAAGTTGAGACTCTTTATTACGTATCCGCTTTTAATTGTGAAAGGGTAGAAAACTCAAACATGGATGGAGGAGTGGCTGGTGTATTTCTTCTCAATGAGACGTTCCGAAGGCAAAACCACGGCTTGGTGCCCACTGGTCCCTAAGGGTTGGGCTCTGACGTGGACGCCTGGCTGAAGGATCGCTCTGGGAGGTGTGTTTGGCAAATCTGTAGCCAGGCAGTGGGGCTGTTAGAAGAAAAGGATCGTGAGGCTGTAGAATGATCGTGAGGCCCAGATAATGGGAAAGGCAGGGCCACCACCCTGCTAGGGAGGCAACAAAGCCTCACTGGCTGGCACGGAACCTCCTGAGCAGGAGATCCACGGAGGACTCCATGGTCCCTGCGTAGGGGGAGGTGAATCTGAGGCCACCACAGTCCCTCCATGTTTATTCAGCAGTCCCACCACCAAGAGGCCTCTGCTTTAGGAAGGAAAGAAATGCCCTGTGTCACGTGCCACCAGAAGAGCAATGCAGAGACGAGGCTCTCAGCCTGGCACTCAGGCAGTAGGCAGGCAGGCCCACCTTTCTCCAGGGCAAGTCAGGCTCCCCCAGCTGTGTGGGAGGCCAGGAGAAACCTTTCCCTACAGCTACAGAGCAGGGGCCAAGGAGAGCAGATATTTTCCAAGACACCCAGGGAAGCAAAGGGCTACCCAATATCACTACTTAACATTGCAAAGGAAGCAGAAAAAGGAGGCGAGCTGAAGAGAGGTGGTAAGCTGCACCCTCCAGCGATGGGGGATCGTTACAAGGATGGGCTGAGTTAGACAGGACGAAGAGTCCTTAGGAGAAGAGAGACTAGGTTCCAAATACGTCCCAGTGCAAGTGCAACCACAAGCTGGGCCACTGCTGGTGTCATAACCTCTGTGGCTTAGAAACAGGAGCACACGGCCGGGCGCGGTGGCTCAAGCCTGTAATCCCAGCACTTTAGGAGGCTGAGGCGGGCGGATCACGAGGTCAGGAGATCGAGACCATCCTGGCTAACACGGTGAAACCCCATCTCTACTAAAAAATACAAAAAACTAGCCGGGCGAGGTGGCGGGCGCCTATAGTCCCAGCTACTCGGGAGGCTGAGGCAGGAGAATGGCGTGAACCCGGGAGGCGGAGCTTGCAGTGAGCTGAGATCCCGCCACTGTACTCCAGCCTGGGCGACAGAGCGAGACTCTGTCTCAAAAAGAAAAAAAAAAAAAAAGAAACAGGAGCACACAATTGGATGCCTCCCTCTCTTCATCAGCCTCATGGCCTAGACCCCAGGGAGATGTGACTGGAATCTGGGCTGACCCCACAGAAAAGCCTGGCCCCCTGTGGTTGTGGGGAGGAGTCTAAGGGATGAAGCCGGGTCCAGACAGGCTGCAGGTGAGGCATGAAGCACGGGCCAGAGATGCACCACTGTACTGCCTCCCTGTCAACCCAGGCAGGGCCCCTCCCTCCCAGGGCTCCTGCTTGGTGCCTACTCACCCTGCATTTCTTGTCTCTGCTTCCCCGACTCATGATTTAATTAAGACCACATATGGGGCAAAGCACATATAATCAACTCCAACTCACTCCAAAATTCCAAAATTTTGCCTAAACAAAACTCGTCCCTGCAAGTCACCCTCATCCCTCCACTGGTCCCAGAAGCAGCTGCTCTCATTCCCAAGGCTCTTTTCTATGCATATGCAAAAGGCTCCCAGGAGACTGAGGCCTTGAGAAAGATGCCGAATTCTGAAAAGGATTTAGGGGCATTTGGAACAACCCACCTTAAGGACTTTTGCTATGGTTTACTGAGTTATTCAAGGCATGCGTTTAGCCGCTCTTTGTTTATTCTGGCATGAGTAGAAGTCACAAAATCTCTCCTATAGCTGCATGCACACCCCGAGTGCTGTGAGCCAGAGCTAGACCTGGCTAATGACACTAATAACCTTAGTGCCCCTTGTATCACCCAAATATTTGTGAGGTTCATATGGCCAAAGTGCATCATTCATTGGCCAGGCAAAATAATGCAACAACAACAACAAAAAAACCCTAACGTGGTTCCAAGCAACCTCGTGAGCCATCCAGATGGCCAGAGACGAGGAACTAACTCGCAAATGATCTCGACGTCCTCCTGCGTTATTTCCTGCAGTAAAGACCCGGCACTCTCACAAGATGGTGAACGGTGGGTGCTCTGGAGACATCCACAATGGCTGTGTCTCCTCCGGGATGGCACAAAAGGATCCTCCAAAAACAGGCCTCTGGGACAAAGAGCTCCTGACATTCTGGCCTTGACTCTGCAGACTGCCAGGACTTCAAGGGAGGGAGAGTCCAAGGTGACGGCCACTTGAGCACTCACTGGGCTCAGAGTAACAAGGGACTAGCCCAAAGGAGCCGGCTTCTTCTCAAGGTAAAATCTGCTGCAATGGGCTCCTCCTATTACAAGATGGATGTGTTGATGGAACTTCATCACCTGTGTTTTAATAACCTACACTTCACCAGTGTATGTAGGCCTGTTAGGTACAAATTGTTTATGGAGAATCTTTTTGTGGGGTTGTCAACTTATTTATAAGGAGGTCACTTCCACATTTTATTTCAGATTCTTTGCATTGCTGTTTTGAAAGCCTAGATGGACTCTTATGCTACCGTGGAGCAGGGTGTCTGGGGGGAAGCCGCATTTGATTGGGGTTTGGTTACTTGTCATCTTTGCCTTTCATAGTTCCCTGTTTCCTTCTCATCCACCTGTCTTGAGCAGTCTGGTTCCCTGGGGCCACAGAACCAGGCCCCCTGCAGAGTGAGAATGGGGATGCGGCCTCTGTACGAGTCCAGAGCACAGGCACAGCCCATGTGCGCCCCACCCTCACCCCACACCTGCAGACTGCATGCTCACGGACGAGCTGTCCCAAATGTGCTCAGCGATACAGCAGGGAAACTGGCAGAGGCACTGCGGGACCAGATGTGGTCTGAGATGACACGAAGTACTTAAGCAAGAGGATATCTTTAGTGGCACTGAGCAGCATGGGTTCCATTAGGAGCACTCAGGTCTAACTGCATGTGTGTGCATGCCTGAGTGGGAGTGGCAGGGTGTGTGTGTGCATGCCTGTGTGGGAGTGGTAGAGAGGGGTGTGGGAGCGGTAGAGAGGGGTGTGGGAGCGGTAGAGAGGGGTGTGGGAGCGGTAGAGAGGGGTGTGGGAGCGGTAGAGAGGGGTGTGGGAGCGGTAGAGAGGGGTGTGGGAGCGGTAGAGAGGGGTGTGGGAGCGGTAGAGAGGGGGTGTGGGAGCGGTAGAGAGGGGTGTGGGAGCGGTAGAGAGGGGTGTGGGAGCGGTAGAGGGGTGTGGGAGCGGTAGAGAGAGGTGTGGGAGTGGTAGAGGGGTGTGGGAGCGGTAGAGGGGTGTGGGAGTGGTAGAGGGGTGTGGGAGGGGTAGAGAGGGGTGTGGGAGCGGTAGAGGGGTGTGGGAGCGGTAGAGAGGGGTGTGGGAGCGGTAGAGGGGTGTGGGAGCGGTAGAGGGGTGTGGGAGCGGTAGAGAGGGGTGTGGGGGGGGTAGAGGGGTGTGGGAGCGGTAGAGGGGTGTGGGAGCGGTAGAGAGGGGTGTGGGAGCGGTAGAGAGGGGTGTGGGAGCGGTAGAGGAGGGGTGTGGGAGCGGTAGAGGGGGGGGGGAGGGGGTGTGGGAGCGGTAGAGAGGGGTGTGGGAGCGGTAGAGAGGGGTGTGGGAGTGGTAGAGGGGTGTGGGAGTGGTAGAGGGGGGTGTGGGAGCGGGTAGAGAGGGGTGTGGGAGCGGTAGAGAGGGGTGTGGGAGCGGTAGAGAGGGGGTGTGGGAGCGGTAGAGAGGGGTGTGGGAGCGGGTTAGAGAGGGGTGTGGGAGGGGTAGAGAGAGGGGTGTGGGAGCGGTAGAGGAGGGGGTGTGGGGAGCGGGTAGGAGAGGGGGGTGTGGGGAGCGGGTAGAGAGGGGTGTGGGAGCGGTAGAGAGGGGTGTGGGAGCGGTAGAGAGGGGTGTGGGAGTGGTAGAGGGGTGTGGGAGCGGTAGAAAGGGGTGTGGGAGTGGTAGAGGGGTGTGGGAGTGGTAGAGAGGGGTGTGTGCGTGCATGCACCTGCGTGGGTGTGGTAGAGAGGGCTGTTCTTGGGAACATCCTGTCCCTCTGGGGAAGTCTGAATTCAAAGTGATTTTCATGGATCCTTTCTCTTGCCTGAAGGCCAGCACAGTTAGGACCAAATTGAAAAGAGATACTACAGAAGGAAGAAGAGGGATGTACTGGTGAGACAGCCAAATGGCAAGTGGTCCCCAGAGAAACTCCAGCCAGCCTGCACACTGGGAGGAGTGCACACTGGGGTGGAACCACAGACGTTCACGCCACCGTTTGCAGCAAGGAGACCTGACCCCTCCTTTTCCTGGGTAAAACCTCGGATTCAGCCTGTGAGGCAGGAAGCCCATGGGCAGGAAGTGCACACTCTCACTTTGCTGAGAGTCTGTCTTTCCCTTTCTGTTCCTTTAGCAAAATAAATCTCATTTTTCTCACTCGCTAAATCATCTGCGAGCCTAAATTTTTGTGGCCGTATGACAAGGACCCTGTCTCCAGCTAACCTAAGGAAAAGTCCCGCAACACTGGTAAGAGAAAGGGAAAGAGACAGGCAGTGATACTTACCCCACGACCACAATGATAAAATCGAGCAGATTCCAGCCGTTGCGGAGGTAGGCATTGGGGTGAAAGAGGAGTCCATAGGCGATGACTTTTAAAAATGCTTCCACCGTAAAAATTATGAGAAAGAGATATTCCACTCGTTCCTAGGAAACAAAAATAGAAAAGAGAGAAAGATAAGTCATTAGTTTGGGGATTTGGAAAGTTTGGAACCAGCAGATCTCACAAGTAGATGGAAGACAATGCTGCCCCCACTGTAGTGGGACCAAGTGGGGACAGTCAGGCCAAATTAGCAACTCCACAGCTCCTACCATGACAGCACCAAGCTACTGGGGATTACGAGATTTTCTTTCTTTTTTTTTTTTTTCGTCAAAGTTCCCCCATTAAAACGTAAATATTAGACTAGTGGAAAAAATTCCTATTTTTTGAAACATTTTATTGAATTAATCAGTTGACATTTTATTGTGCCCTCCCAGAAGAGAAGTCACAATGTCTCCATCTAAAGGGAAACAATGTCAGGGCAAAAAGAGAAGGGGATAAAGCAGAGCTCCTGGAAAATCGTGCTACAATTCTGCAGGCACAAGCCCTGAAGACCGCAGACTTGGTCTTGGGGAGGGTACTAGATGAGTTCCTCCAAATGATGGAGCGAAAATGCAGCCACAAAGAAATGGAGACAGTGAAGATCCCTTAAGAGCAGCCCCGGCCGGGCGCGGTGGCTCAAGCCTGTAATCCCAGCACTCTGGGAGGCCGAGACGGGTGGATCACGAGGTCAGGAGATCGGGACCATCCTGGCTAACACAGTGAAACCCCGTCTCTACTAAAAAATACAAAAAATTAGCCGGGCGAGGTGGCGGGCGCCTGTGGTCCCAGCTACTCGGGAGGCTGAGGCAGGAGAATGGCGTGAACCCGGGAGGCGGAGCTTGCAGTGACTGAGATCCGGCCACTGCACTCCAGCCTGGGCGACAGAGTGAGACTCTGTCTCAAAAAAACAAAAACAAAAACAAGAGCAGCCCGGACAGAGGCCACCTGCTCACGTACACCGATCCAGAAATGTGGAATCTCTTTCTTAAGAAAATAAAACCTTCTGTCCAAAGACATCAAACATTTCAGCAGAGAAAATCAGCATTTTGAGGATGGAGGCAGGCACTGGGTGGGGGTGGAGAATGGAAGGAGCCCCTCTCTTCCCTTGAGGGGTAGGAGACAGTCTTCTTCCTCCCCTGACACCTTGAAGAAGGGGTTTGCATTTAAGGATGCAGCTCCCACCCCTGGGAGCCCAGAGCGAACAGGACAAACTTGTTGGCTCAATTAGAGCGAGCCGACTCTGTGCTGATTCATGCTCTTCCCTCGCCACTAATTGCTTTCTCCCACACCCCCATCCCAAGTGCAGAGCCTTAATGGCCCCCACCAGGCAAAGGCTGCCTGGATGCCTTCATGCTCCACTGCTTGCCTCTGCAGAAGCTCAGCCATCCTTCACTGGAGCCATGAAACACCCATCCATATTGCATTTGGGCACAGGCCCTCCAGAGTGGGGCGGGCCTGTCCGCAGCCCCAAGTGGGCACTGGGCTCAGAACCCCTGGACCCATTTTCCCCTCCTCTGCCAGTCAGAGGGAGCTCTGGTGTATGCATGTGGGAGCAGTGGTGAGGGGGTGCTCCAGGCTCGCCTACATTCTGAAGGAGGAGTGTTACCCACAAAGGCCCACTTCCTCCTGCCTGGCCAGCTGGGCAGGGTCCTCCAAGGCAGGGCCATCGGGAGCTGGATGGAAAGCTCTGTAGGGAGCCTTCGGGTACCTGGGCTCCCATTCACTCCATCACAATCCCCTGGGCATGCAGGGAGTGCCAGCTTCACTGTGAAGCAGTTTGAGGATGCAAATTAAAAACTGTAGAATTCTGGGCCCTGTCCAGATCTACTGAAACAGATCTCCTGGCTGTGAAGCCTGGAAATGTGCACTGTAGACAATTTCCAGGTGTTTCTGAGGTACCTGGAAGAAACACCAGCTCACATGCTGATGAAAGCCCAGATCACGCAGAGGCAGTGGGAAGAGAGTGCGGGGGTCAGACTTAATCAACATCTCAGAGGCAGATTCGTCCTTCCCTTCCTGCCCATTTTTGTGCCATAAAATGCATTTAGAGAGGCGGCTCCCTTGGGGTTGTGACCCAGGAACAAATCAGTGTGTGGGAAGCTCCAATCTTTTCAAGTCAGGTGGTGTTGGGTTAAAATGTACATCAGGGCCATGTTGAAGGAGAAAACATGAGACAACCCAGCACAGGGGAACCTGAGGATGTCTGTGGGAATAGGAATAGAGGAGCTGTCACACAGCCACTCAGCCCATCTCCTCATCCCCAACCCATGATGGTTCAGAGCTTTCATGTCTGCCACTAGATGACAGGGTCACTGCTTTCCGTATTCCCAGAAAGTTGAAGCTGAGATGAGAAAGAAGGAAAAGGAAAGGGAAACAAACAGAAGTTGGGTATCCATTAGGTGTCAGGTGCTTTCATATGTGCTAGTTGTTTTCACTCTTTTATTCCATCCATCCACCCACCCACCCATTCATCCATCCATTCATCCATCTTTCCACGCACTCACCCATCCATTCATCCATTCACCCACCCACCCACTCACTACTCATCCATTCATCCATCTATTCATCCACCTGTCCATCCACCCATCAATCCATCCATCCACCCATTCACCCTTCCATTCATCTTTCCATCCACCCACCCACCCATTCATCCATCCATTCATCCATCTTTCCACGCACTCACCCATCCATTCATCCATTCACCCACCCACCCACTCACTACTCATCCATTCATCCATCTATTCATCCACCTGTCCATCCACCCATCAATCCATCCATCCACCCATTCACCCTTCCATTCATCTTTCCATCCACTCACCCACCCATTCATCCATCCACCTACCCACCAACTCACCACCTATCCAGCCAGCCACCCACCCATTCATCCATCCATCCATTCACCCACCTATGCACCGACCCACTCATCCATTCATTCACTCATTCACCCACCTGTGCGTTCATTCATCCATTCATCCATCCATCCATCCATGCATCCATGCATCCATCCATCCATCCATCCATCCACCCACTGATGCACCCATTCATCTGTCAGTCCACCCATCCACCCACCCACCCATTCTTCTATCCATCCAACCACCCACTCATCCATCCACCCACCCACCCACACATACATACATATATACACCCACCTACCATCCATACACCCATCTATACATCCACCCACCCATCCATCCATCCATCCACCCACCCACTGAAGCACCCATCCATCAGTCCACCCATCCACCCACCCACCCACCCATTCTTCTATCCATCCAACCACCCACTCATCCAACCACCCACTCATCCATCCACCCACTCACCCACACGTACATACATATATACACCCACCTACCATCCATACACCCATCTGTCCATCCATCCATCCATCCATCCATCCATCCACCCACCTATCCATTTATCCAACTATCCATCTATCCACCCACCTACCCATTCATCCGTCCATCCACCCACCCACATATATCCATCCATCCATCTATATATTTATTCAACTATCCATCTATCCACCCACCTACCCATCCATTCATCCATCCATCCATCCATCCATCCATCCATCCATCCATCCATCCATCCATCCATCCATTTATCCATCCACCTACCTATACCTTTATCCATCCATCTATCCATCTACCCATTCATCCATTCACCCACTCACTCATTCATCTATCCTATCATCCATCTACTCATCCACTCACTCACCATCCACCCACTCACTCACCCGTCCATCCACCCATCTGTCCCCTCAGTCATTCATGATCAGTGTGGCACAACTAGTTGCACTGTCAAAAAGTGACCCTGTATCTCCCTCTGGGTTGTCTAGATAATGAGCCCTCCAGAAGAGGTAGCACTCAAGCACAGAGTCCCTCCTCCCCCTGTCAGAGAGGGCAGCAATATCCTGAAGGCTCTGAGGGCCCTATGTGCTGGGAAACTGGCATTCCCAGACAACTCCTGTAAACAGCTGGCACCCCTAGTCCAGACCACCTGGCACTAAGCACTCTGCTTATTCCCTCATTGACAGGCTGCTTTCTCTTACTTAATTGCCCTATAAAAAGAGAGAGCCATGGTTTGGGGGGTGTGGCGAGGGTCCTCCACTGGGGTACAGGCTTACTGCAGGACCAGCAGCATCCTGGACCTGGCATATCTCTTTTTGAGATGGAAGGGTTGGGGGATGTGACTTCTCTTCTTGACCTTTGGCCTTGGCAAATTTTCCCAATAAAGCCTATTCCTTGATCCATGCCATGTAACATTTGTCCTGCATCCTGGCATAGAACATGGGGAGACCCAGAGGGACCTGCTGGAGACTTGAGAAAAAAAGTCTCAGAAACAAACCTCAAGGATGTACTGGTACAATGCAGGGCAAACGGACAGACGATTCCAATACAATTAGTACATGGCATTCTGGAGGCAAGCACAGCTGGCTATGGATGGACTTCCCAAAGAAAGAATCTTCAAGCTGAATCTCTGAGGATGAAGAGTTGTCCAGGTGAAGAAGGTTAGGGGCTGGGGGCAGGGGGTAGGCAATGTGGAGGGGGTCAGGCATTACAGGTGCGGAGTGAACTAAGAAGATGGGAAGTATGGACACAGCTCTGCGATGCAAACATTTGATTTGGCTGGAGTGAGGGTGTTGAAGTAGCAGGGCTGGAGGGCTCGGCAGGAGCAAGATGACCAGGAACTTTGTGGCTATGCCTGGATGCTTGGATTCCATTCTGAGGAGAATGGGAATGACCTGGGGAGATATGCCCTGCAATCTGGCACTGGCTGGAGAATGAGTGATGGGGTTAAGGGTAGGGGAGAGCGACCCATGCGGAGATCACGGAGGCTGGAGCCATGGTAGAGGCAGTGGGATTGGGGAGACGTAGGTGGATTTGAGAGGAGAAAGCATGTGCTTTGTTTTCTGGTTGCACGTAGGGGTTGAGGGAAGAGGCAGTGCAGAGATGTGCAATGCCCCCTCCCTGAGGTTTCTAATTTGGGTGACTGTGTGGATGGTGATGCCTCTCACTGCACAGGGGACTTCAAGAAGAGGAAGAGGGGTTTTGGGGGAAGGTAG